TAAGAAACCAAGACAACAGGCACAGTGGTCCCTTGGATTTCCAGGTAAACCTATTTTGGTAAATAGTAAGGAAATGGGTCCACATCAGAGGGTTCAGTTCAAGCCAAGAAAGGGTCATTTTAAGGTGTTGAAATCCAGTTACTGCATTTCAGGAGGACAGTGGCACAGCCGGGATGATCCACATGAACAATATTTCTCTCCAGTTCCCAAAAAGTGCCCCTAAAGAGGCAACTACCTGTAAGTGGCAACTTCCATGGAAAAAGCTGTATTTTCTTACTGATTGYCAGACCACATCTAAGTGCTACACCAGAGGAGCAACCTAAAATAAGAGTATTTAATTAAGCTTTTATCAAATTTTACCCTGTTTGGCCATTGTCAGCATTATAATGTGCTCGGGGCACAAAGGCAAGGCTGGAACAGGATCACACAATCATTTAGGAATCATTTAGGAATAATTTAGGAATCATTTAGGAATCACTTAGGAATTATTTAGGAATCACTTAGGAATCATTTAGGAATCACTTAGGAATCATTTAAGAATCACTTAGGTTGGGAAAGGCCTCTGAGATCATCAAGTCCAACTGTTCTCCCAGCACTGCTGAGTTCACCACCAAACCTTGTCCCCAAGTGCCACATCCACACACCTCTTGAACGTTTCCAGGGATGGTGACACCAGCCACTTCCCTGGGCATCCTGTTCCTRTGCTYGACCATCCTTTCAATGAAGAATTTGTCCCTAATATCCAATCTAAGCCTCYCYTGGTGTGYCTTGAGGCCATTTCTTCTCATTCTGRCCTTGTTCCCCGGGAGYAGAGCCTGACCCCCACCMGGCTGTGGGGTGTGACAGGATCCCCCCRGAGCCTCCTTTGCTCCAGGCTGAGCCTYCCCAGCTCCCTCGGCCCCTCCTGATGCTCCAGACCCTTCCCCACAGTTCCTCCTTACACCCATATGGGATTTGGGAAGCAGAGAAGCAGCTGCAGGTCTGGCAGGAGTGCAGGAGAAGCCACAGGAGGTTTTTGTGATGCAGGAGGTGTTATCAGGTGTTTCTCACCCCACCGGGACCCCTCCGAGCGCAGCACACAGAAGTGGCACTGGAGGCTGCTGACTTTGGCCAGCAGTGGCTCCCGTGGCTCAGTCCGTGTCCCTCGGCAGAGCTCTGGGCTCCCACAGCAGGACAATCACCCTGTCCAACCCATCCTCATCCCAGAGGAAAAGCTGGGATTCCCCCTGATYTGAGTGCCGCAGACCAAGGGAGCAGGATATTTTGGATGTATTTGAGACTGTTCCAGGTTTTTCACAGGAGGTGGTGATCCCCTGTCCCGGGCCTTGCTGCAGTTGATTCTTCTCGGTTTCCTGCCTGCACCGGGCTGGCTCCTGCAAGCGCAGCAGCAGCAGCAGCATCATCCTGTGCTCCATGCCTGCAGGGGGATGTGTCCCGGGCCAACCTTCCAGTGCCATCTGCCGTCTGTCCCGGCCGCTCCTGCCCGTCCCAGGGTGGCTCCCACCGCCCTGCAGGTGAAGAGCCCAGTGTGTCATGGCTGTGTCATCGCAGAAGGTGTCGCATTTCTGCTTCTTTTCGAGTTACATGAGTAATACCGGGAGCTATGCATGGGAGAGGCACCCAGAGGAGGGACCGCTCCGGCCTCRGGGGGTTCCCAGGCTCAGCTGGAGCAAGCCAGGACTGGCCTGAGGTGACAGTCCCMCCGCAGCAAGGCTGGACTGTGAAGCAGCACCACCACCCCACCCCATACTGTCCCAGCTCAAATTCAGTATATTTTTGTCAATAAAGCATGTAGCTGACTAGAAAAATAAAATATATTCTCCACTATTAACTTAATACAGAGATTCTCTGCTTGAGTGTCTCCACTCTCCCCATCCCAAGGAGGAGAAGACCATCCATGACAAAATCCGCGTGTTTTCTCCGCTGTCCCGAACAGCAAGCCGCTGCGGCGCTCCTGCTGGCGGTGTCCCGGTTTCCTGTGCTCCGGTCTCGGATGCCATCTCCTGGCTGTGCCGCTGAACTGAGCACAGCGACAGCGGGGACCGGGAGCGCCCTTCCCATCGCACTGCCCCAATAACAGCCTGACCGGTTCAGAGCAGCTTTTGTTCTTTGAGAATCCGAGCCGACCCCATGCATTTTCGATTCGTGATGGAAGTGTCTCCTGTAAGTAATAACCCTTCGGATCCCATCACATCAGCGCCGTGACTCCCAAGGCCCCTCTGGAATGACATCCATCACTTCGGGRGTGGGACCTGGCACCTCTCACCTTTCCCTAACAGTTCTTTTCGGGCTGTATTTTGTTACACGATCCCTGTGCCATCCATTGTTTGTCACCTGTGTCTCCATGGGGGATCGGGATGACACTTCCAAGTCTCTACTTCAACAAGTGGGTGTTTGGCAGGGTGAAAGCAGAGGTGTTTTTGGAGCTGTGAGGGTGTGGTGATATCCAAGCAAAACTCCTGAGAGGGGGCACTGTGCAATAAGGAATTGTGAGGCAGCTGGAACATCGTCTCCTCCCTTCTCGGTGTCCATCATTCCCTGCCTCCTTCTGCCCTCATGGAGACATTTCAGGCCTGGCTGAGCCTGCCAAGCCAATCTGCCATGGACCTAACCCATCATTACACAGCTTGGCCACTCATTTGATCTGGCCATGTGACAGGGRCTGGGGTTCCACAGACACTCCCTGYGCACAGCAGAGCTGCTCCTGACCCTCACGGGGGTGGACAATGTGTATGTGCCAGGGGAATCCCAGTAACGCTGCATGAGCTGCAGCTTCTYGCCMCAGCTCAAATCCTGTGCTYAGTWTTGGGYCCCTCGTGACAYTGAGGGGCTGGAGCAGGTCCRGGGAAGAGAACAGAGCTGGGGAAGGGTCTGGAGCACCASGAGGGAGCTGGAGAGGCTCAGCCTGGAGAAAASRAGGYTCAGGGACTCCCCTTCAKGTGAGGTTCAGGCTCTGTGGAGGATGAGAGGAAAAGGTCCCAGGTTGTGCCAGGGTAGGTTTATGTTGAGTGTTGGGGAAAATCTGTTCCCTGAAAGGGTGGTCAGGCAYTGGAAGGGGCTGCCAAACAGTGGTGGAGTCTCCATCCCTGGAACTGTTCAAAGACGTGGCACCTGGGAACGGGGTTTAGTGGTGGACCTGGCAGTGCTGGRGAATGGATAAACTCAACAATCTCASAGGGCTTTTCCAGCCTAAATAATTCTGTGATTCAATGATTCATGGCAATCAGCAGGGAGCAGTAGTTGCTAAATCCTGCTGCAGGATGGAGCTGGGGCTCTCTGAGACATTTCCTCACGGTTGTGGCCACCATTCTCTGCCTGATGGACAAACAATCTTGACGAAATGATCTCGTCGTGACTGGCTTCAGCCCAAGAGAGGACAGGAAAGGGGATGGTTGCAGAGCACAGCAGGAGAGAACAGGCCAAAAGCTCCAAGGTTTATCTGTTTTCCCTACTTTCAAAACAAGGCAAACCAGGAGGAGTTTCCAGTAAAGGGTAAAATGAAAGCGTGAAAGAGCAGCCTTTTTCCCCTATATTTTTCCTAGCCTCAGTGTCACCGTCTCTGTTCCCTGGTAGATTTGTCCTTTGGAMGTTGGCTGACAGGCCCAGGCAGCACGAGGACCAAAGGTGCCACAACCTGTACCCTTTCCCTGGTGGTGCCAACAGCTCGTGCCCCACCCAGAGCTTCCCTGCTCACAGAGCTTCACCCTGTCTGGGGATGGGGATATTTTGGGGACATTCCCTGTCCTCAGATCACCTCCCAGAGTGGGACCCCAGCGGGAGCAGTCGGGGCGGGGCACACGCGTGTCCACACGCCTGCACCAGCCCCACTCCAGCCGGGGAAGGGACGCCTGGGGACCCTCAGAGCAGACGTGACCTACTTTAGCTCCGAGGCGAGCGGGTCCCACTCTAAAAGCTTAATAGAGCTGCACGTCAATTATTCATGGCCTGGCCATGTTAATGCATGTGCTAAAGGCTTTTTTTTTTCTTTAAAAAAACCCCAAACAAACCAGGAAAAAGTCTGCTCTATAATTTAAAGCTTTGAACGCTCCCATCAACGGGCCCCGCTGCTCTCCRCAGTGTTTCCGCTCAGGTGAGCAGAGCTGCGAGATGCGGACAGACTCAGCAGGGAAGAACCAGCCCGCTGGAGCTGGGATTGGGGCAGGGGATTGGGGCAGAGGCCTGGGCGGTGAGCGGGGGGAATCCCACGGGAAGGGGCTGGCAGCCCTGCTCTGGGGCGGGCAACCCACGGCCCCACAGCGAGTCACTTCCCGGAGCAGCAGCGCTCGCTCCGCTCCATTCCCAGGCACAGTGGCCAGCTGGGCTATTTTTAGACCTGTCTTTTGCTTTTTCTAGTTTTTTTTTCCTTGCTTTCGCTCAGCACTGCCCTCGCAGCCCTGGGGAGGGATGCAAACACTGATCCCCGGGGTGGGAAGCTGCGTGGGAGGGCGCAGCGCAGGGGTCAGCGAGCCGGGCCACAGCAGGGAGAGCCCCCGGCCCCCGCACGGCCATTCCCACCGGGATCGGCACCCCCTGCCCCGCAGCACCGGCCCCACAGCTGCCGGAGCAGGTACCGATAGGGCCAGGAACGCTTGGGGCAGCCCAGGCAGCGGGGCAGGAGCTGGGCGGGTGCAGGGCGATGCTCCAGCCACCGAGAGCGTTTGCCTTCTATGGAGATCTCCTTGTGCACTGCTGGCACGGAGCACAGGCTCTGGGCCTCCGCCGGCGCTGGGAGGGGGAACAAAAACACCCAAAACAGCTCCGGGCTGCCCTCGCAGAGGCCTCCAGCAGAGCTCAGCACCACCAACATCCCCAACAAGGACTCGTCCTTGGCCCAGCAGGGCAGGGGAGACCCCGGCTCCTGGTCCTCAGCTGCAGCCCAAGCGAGCCCGCATCCTTCAAACCTGGGAAAGGGGACCAGGGAGRCGCCAGGCTGTGCCTGAAGCATCCCACCCCATTCCCTCAAGAAAACACACAAGACCACAGAAAAAGTCACAGCAGCCTCTGGGTATATATTTTTTTTCTTTTTTTTTTGGTTGCATTTCATATATTATCCAGTTTCACATTCTCGTAGGATCAGCAATTATAGAGCAACTTATTCTCAAATCTCTTAATACAAGCAAGACAGCCATGGTCAGATAATACTTAAAGCACTTCAATACCAAGCAAGAAGATGCTAAAACAAAAATTGCACAATTTCTTGTTTACTATGCCTGACTGAATCATTGGTACAGAAGACAACCCTTCTTTTTCAAGCTTTTAACTAAACATTAACTTATCTTACAGGATTACAATTTATCTTTAATAATAATAATAATTAATTGCACACAAACACACAAGAAATTCTTTATGATGCATAAATATTTCCTTATTACACATGATACAAAAATACTCGTACTTTTTTTTTTTTTTGTTCGGTATTCCCATAAGGATGGCTGATTATTTGGCAGGACTGGATGCTCTCCAATCAGAAGGATGTGGGAAGGAAAAAAGAAAGAAGAGGTTAGATATTTTACAGCTGTTCTATATATAGAAGTCTGAAGAAGGAAAAAAAATAATATAATAACCCTGACTTTAAAACCAGAGCAGAATGGACGAAAACAGAAACCCAGTGCATTGTACTTTGGAAAAAAAAAAAAAAAAAAAAAAAAAAAAAAAAAAAAAAAAAAAAAAAAAAAAAAAAAAAAAAAAAAAAAAAAAAAAAAAAAAAAAAAATTCAAATTTTTCTGGTTGTCCTGGGGAGGGGAGGGCAGAGGTGGGAGACGGGGTGAGACAAGGACAGTTAGTATTTCTCAAAGCCAAGTCTTCACCAAAGCAAGAGGAAAACCTTGATGGATCAATCTGTTGGGCCAAGACCTGTTGCTAACGGTTACACAAACGCTAGAACAAACAAACTTACACTCACAGACACAAGTTAAGTGTTTTAATTCATGCCAGAAAACATGCAAAACCCATTTTGCCTTTCGATTCCTTCAGCCGAGCTGCCCCCGGGGCAGGGTGAGCCCAGGACCGAGCCCCGGCTGGGTTTCGGTGCAGCCGGGTGGCGAAGCTCGGTCAGGGAGGAGGTCCTGGGGATGGATGGAGGGATGGACAGAGGGATGGAGGCGGCACACCGCCCRTGCTGGGGCCGTGGCAGCTTCACAGTCCAGGGAAGGGATGGCAGCCCCAGGGGCAGCACGGCAGGGCCGGGCACRGTGTCCGCTGGCCGCAAACCAAACCCAGAGGAGTCGGAGCAATCGTCCCTGGCACATCCCTCCGTGGAGAGGYGGGGAGGAGGAACACAAGCCGAGGAGAGACACTGTGGGAGAGGAGCGCCGTCAGTGGGGCCAGCTGCACCCGTGTCCTGAACATCTCCCACAGCCCCCTCCCCATGCCTCGGGGGTCTCCCTGCTCCCCTCACCCCTCCTGGAAACCCAGCCACATYCTTGGGTGGATGTGTGGGGCTGAGCCCAAGCTCCCGTCCTTCCTCCCCACAAGAGTCCGAGCAGCCCGAGGAAGAGCAAGACAAAGACCTGACTCCAAGAGTAAGTAATTACTTACTAACGAACTAACAAAACTGACGAGACTTCCATCCTTGCTGGGTAGCTTCGGAGGGAGGATACCAGCGCATCTGGAAAAGAAAGCCACGGCAGAGGTCCGTGATCCGGGATTATCTTAAGCAGAGTACAAACCGTCAGCGCCTCGAAGCCACGTGCAGAGATGTCTCCAGATGGGAAAGGAGGCTCCAGGGTGAGCCCCAAATGCTGCTTGACAAGTTCCACCCTTGGCRGCAAAGGAGTCCATAAATTAAAACCAGACAACCTCTACAGGACATGCATGGGGGAAGAAGCAGCTCATTCCCCACAGCAGAGGCCCACAGAATTTTTCAAGCCCCAACCCTGCTACCATGAGCAGCTCCAGGCAAACCACTCCACAGCAACAACTTGGTAGASCTGCAAACTAGCAGGGCTTGGAGGCTTCCCTGCAACATCTATTTCTCAGACCAGCTCCTTGCCAAGGAAGGGGCTGGAGAGGGCCCTAACAAGCAAACAAGGGACCAAACACTTTCCACCCCCTCAGGAGACACAATGAGCTGGCATCATCCAGCCCTACAGCCCTCTGGACATCCAGATGATCCCACGTGGTCAGCAGGCCTGGTGTGTCCCCAGCTGAGTGGCATCAACAGCTCTGTGCCTGAGAGCAGTGGGAGACGAGCCCGTGCCACTCGACTGAGTACAGAGCCAGCAGCTGCAGCAGCGGCTGGAGCTTTGCCCCYGACTCTTCCCTCCCTCCCTGCCAGGGGGGAAGCAGGGCCTCAGTACCTGCAGGGCTCTGGGAACCAGCACAACAATGGACTTGGCTCAAAGACGGGGAGAAAAGCAGCAGGAAACCTCCTGGAGCCATTGCCCTTGTCCCGTTTATGCTGGCACAGCTGCTCCCTCACCCAAACAAGCCTGGCAAGATGCTCCTCTCCCAGAGACATGAAGCAAAGTGCCAAAACCTCGGCGCTGCTGCCTGCAGTCCCTCACAGGCACGATGGCTGCGATGCCAGAACAGCAGCCACGTGAGCTCAGGGCATCTCATCCCTCTAGAGGAGAGGCTCCTACAGCAAGAGCTCTGCCAGAAGCTCTGTCCTCACAGGAGCCTCTCATCTCATCAGAACAAGGCCAGTTTGGACAAGACTAGCAGCGACCTGCTCRAGTGGAAGGCRTCCTTGCACATGGTATGAGGGTGGGATGAAATTGCCTCAAGGTTCCCTCCAACTCAAACGATTCTACAGTTCCTCAATGTGCCGGACTCTYGCCAGACACCTTCACAAGGCAAGAGGGTGCCACTGACTCAGCTCCCAGCAGGCCCCATCCCTCGCTCCATGGCACAGCCAGCACATCCACCCCAGTCAGCCCAGCCCAGGGCAATCAAGGCRTGGACATTACCAAGAGCCTCCTCCCCGGTGAGGGGTCCCACAGTGTGCACAGACACCATCCAGGAAGGCTTGGGATGGGCAGCAGCATCACTGACAACTCACAGGGTCACCACAGCAGCTGCCAGAGCAACAACAGGAGTTTCTTGCTCCCTGCAAGCCCTGTCACCCAGAGGGAGATGCTTGCTCAGCAGAGCCACATCTCCTCTGCAGCCATCCTCCCCGGCCAGCATCCCTCCCTCCACACCCCTCCCCTTGACAGCTGGAAGCAGTTTCCTCCCGCCCAACAGCAACAGGAAAATCCCCCTTCATTCACAAGGCTCTGAGTGTGTAACTCCAAGAGCTGCCTCCATCCCACGCAGGCTCGACCGAGCAGCACGGCCACACAATACATGAGCCAGCACAGCCCAGCCTGGTGGCCCTCTCTTCTGTCCTCAGAGCCACCTTCTGGCCCACCTGCAGAGCCTCAGCACCTCCCATTTCAAAAGAATTCCTGGTTTTCTCTTAAAACACGCGCTGTTCGTGGCTCTGGCACTAATAAACCATCACCACCCTCCCTGCCTTCCCTCCTGCAGGTCTCCAGCACTCACACACCAAACCCACCCAGCCTGACCCACTGTGGCCAGCCCTGCATTCAGACGGCTCAGCCTGGAGCCCAGCAGGAGCTCCTGGTACAATCTAAGGCTCTGACACACTGGCAGAGTGAGGCAATGACCTTTCAGCCCATAGAAAGATTAGAGGTTTGATGAGATGAAGCAAGGACTCAGTCGGAGGGATGTTCCTGAAGCCAGCAAAAAGCACTGAAAGCAGCTGATTGGAGGCAGCAGATAGTCAGAACAACACTCTAGGCACCTGCCAAGGCAGTTTTCACATCCCTCAAAATAGTACATCTGTCAAGGAGAAAGCTGAGAGCAAGTGGAGATGTCCAGCACTGGGTGAGGAAAGCAGAGCAGGAGAGGTTTTTACTGGAAGAGACAGAGCTCAGAGAGACAGAGGCATTAGCTCACAGTTGGAAAGGAGTCTGGTCACACCACTGAAACATCTCCTGTTTGCAGGGACAAGGCAACCACTGCAGCCACCTTCAACATCTGTCCCAGAAAACAGCTGGAGAGCAGAAATGTGTGCCTGCCACCTCCCAGAGGCCAGGAACCTCTCCCTTGCTGCAGCACAACACCAGCAGCAGCCTAAAAATCCCAACAAAATGATAAATGGGGTAGAGAAACACCCCATCAGAGCTTCACTSTCCTTGTCACAACCTCCTGTCTCTCCCCTCAGAATCTGAATATACCATCTTCATGGAGAGCATGAGGTCTGCAACCAGCCCCAGCAACTGTCGGAGCTCCATTCCATCTACAGCCTGGATGGCCTCCAGGGAGCAAAGACTCAAATGCAGGCAGGGACAGCAGCTGGTAGGATCCAACCACCACGTCCAAGAGCTGCATCTCACTGCCAGCTGCTGGTGTGCCGAGACCCTCAGCTCCTGAGCCCGGTGAGCCACGGGCACCTCCCAGGCAGCACCTGCGGGTGCAGTCACCGGCTGCGAGCCCAGGGCAGCCCCTGCTGGCAGCCGGCAAGCGCTGCTCTGCTCCAGCCGGACACACAGAGCTGCTTTCCTGTGCATGGAGCCAGCCAGGGCGAGCCACGGTCAGCCACAGTCCCTTCTGATGGCATCCGAGTCCTGTTCACCCACCGCTTAGTGAGGATGGCTGCTCAGGAGCATCCTCTGCTTGGAGGATGTTCAGAGCATCTCCTGCCTGCTTTTCCCTGGCTAGGAGGGAACTGCTGGCTTGGGGCTGCTTGGCCAGTTATGTCACCACAGAGTCACTGGAGTTTAGGAAGATAGCACAACCATGAACACCTTGAAGAGGCCTTCACATCTCTGGGAAGCATGGAGCTTACCCAGAAAAAAATAATCTTGGGAAGTCCCTAGACAACAGCACCAACAAACACACAAGTTATTAGGGACAGAAAATCCATCACTGTCTCCAGCCTCCATCGTAGGGAGGGTCTGTCAGCTCAAGGAAAGAGGGGGTTTGGAGCACTGACCTCTGCTTCCATCAATGGGATCATTCTTAACAACAGTGCAGGAAGTCCCAAGGTCCTTCCAGGCTCTTGYACAACCACATAGCCATGATCCACAACTGGTCCTTCCACCCACCACTCACTTGGAGATGTCTCAGAACCAGAGACCCACCCCTGCCATCTCCTCAAGGGCTCCAGGGGATGCTGTGAGGGAACCTTGAGCAGCCCGAAAGAACGGGCATTTCTGTGYTCTCAGGCCTGGGCCTGGCTGCTCAGAAACACCTACCAGGGTCTCAGGGTTCCACTACCCAACACACCACCTGTGTCTCCAGCCCATGTGCCCATGGTCTGATGAGCCAATCCTGCATCCAGCCCCTGCTTCCCAGGGCATGTCCTGCCCAGAGCACAGTCCTGCCCCACGGGTGCTGCCACAGCTGAAAGCATCTGTTTGCAGAGCTCTGAGAGCACGGATGGCCCTGGCATCCCCTGCTGYCCACTGAGCCTGGCTTAGAGGCACCCCGAAACCAGTGGCTTCTCCTCAAGAGACACAGTGCAGCCCACCTTCCTCCCACCAGCAGGGGATGAACCGGCCTGCCAGGACCAAGGAGAACAAGACAAGCTGTGTCACTTCTCCATGCCTGTGCCAAGCTCTTCTCATCCTCCCAGGAGGTCAGCTCTGCACACCTTCACACCTCAGTTTCCCAAGGGCAAAGGCAGACCTGGCCCTTCATCTTTGGTGGCTTCTTTACCCAACATTACCTCCACAAAGAGAGGAAAAAAGTCTGCTCAGATCCACTGCAGGGAGAACTGAACCAGGACTCATTTCCTTCAGTGCAACATCAACCATCCCCCTRCCAACCAGTCCCAAGCCCTTCCCTCTTCCCAAGCTCCCAGTCTCCTGTGCCACTCCCCTCTCTCCCAGGCTGCTGATTCCCTGTTACAGCCAACACCACCCATGTCCTGCCTGCGATTTCAGGTTGCAAGAGAGAAGCCGAGCTCCAGGTAGGAGCGGGCTCCATTTCCAGTAACTGGAGAGGAAAGAGGTGAGATTAGACCCACGATTAAGGGCAGGGTCTGTCCCGGTATGCAATTCTGGAACAAAGTGACCGGCAAGTGCTGTTGTCTAAGGTGCCCACTAAAATTTAGTCGTGTGCTATCACTACCACGTCACTCACCTCCCCCACCGTGTGCCAGGAGTGAGGTCAAGGTGTATTTCTGGTTGCCCTCTAAGGGTCAAGGCTGGGGAGAAACCAGRTTTCTTTCAGGCCGAGTGGCAGGGTGGTCTCTGCCCCCGCTCAACCGGGCTGCTCCCCTCCCACCGGCGGGGCCTGGCCGAGCCTGGCTCAGCTGGGAGGAGCTGATGTAAGATGGTGCCATGCTGTGTGCGCCATGTCATGTGCTGCCAAGTTGGAGATGTGGGTTAGAAAGAAGGCCTGGCATCTCATTCCCCAGGCTCTGGTGGGTGGGTAGCGTGAGGCCCATGCACTGGGTTGCCAAGGAGATACGGGCTACAGAGATGGGCAGAAGCTTGCAAATCCCATGGTGCACCTTGGAGGAGAGATGGTTACCTTACCAGTCTTTCCAGACGTGGCTGCCATCATGCTTAACACTTCTAGGAATGGAGCTGTAGTACAGCCACTCCACTAGCTGCAATAAGGCATCACTAGGGCGTCCCATCTCCAGGGACAGCTCTGAGCTTCGGGGCTAGCCTGCGCTGGCATCATGGCTGGAGTTCACTAGGGACATCAAAGGAGGGATTTGAGAGAGGGTGGGAGGGAGGGAAGGCAGATGGGACAATCTTAAAGTCAGCAAAGTCCCCGGTGGGGCAGGGTCAGGGCACAGTCACAGCTGCAGCAGCCAGGGGCCTGCCCAGAGTGTCACCGAGGCACAGAGGTGCCGGGAGCAGCAGCCATCAGTCTCGGCTGGGAGCGGCTTACCAGAGTTCCCGAGGCCTGGCCAGCCTCTCAGCACCTCCTGCCCCTCACTGCTCCTGCCAGCCCTCTGGGCAGCTCTTCAGGAGGCCAAGCCAGGCTGCCTCCTCTCCCCCTTGCTGAACTCAGCGCTGCAAGAGGATGAGCCCTTCAGGTTTAAACCTCGTGTGACAAGACCTTGGTTTACCCACAGCCTCCAACTTCTCAGCTKCCTTGAGCTGATCTCCATGGAGCTGCTACAGCTCTGGCCATCCCCATGGGTGCCCTCCAGCCAACACCAGTCTTGGAAGGAAGAACTGTGGCTGTTCTGGGGAATAACCTGCGAGCCCTCTACATGGGTGGGCAAGCCCCTCGCAGTGAGGGCAGAGGGCTCAGCACACCAGCTCTAAGGGCACAGCTTTTAGCCCAGTTTGYGAGCAAAAGTCATCTCCCTACCATGCTCCACCTTCAGCTCTGCAAGAGACAGGGCTCCAGCCCAGAGCTGCCAGCGTRAGTAATGTTTAACCCTGCTAAACTTTATTGGTAACCTATCCTGTGCCAGGACGTGCCCCTGCAGGATCAGCGCCAGCTCAGCACAGCCAGGAGCAGCTGGGACTGCCCGGTGGCCACTTTGSAAAAGAGCTGGGTCCAGCCACGGCCTGGAGGGGCTGCACTGGYTCCCTAGGGCTTGGAGGCCCATCACCACCCACGGACCCCTGGGGCAGGAGCTCTACCTACACAGGGAGCTCCTCGGGTCTTACGGTGAGATCAGAAAACCTCTTTGGAAACCAGCAGCTYACCAGCTGGAGGGCAGGAGCTGAGACCCCAGAGCCTCCTTAATACCCTCTATTCTGCAAGAGGAGAGTTTGCTCCCTAACCATGCACCATAAAGTTTTGGTGTCTARCCCTCACACTCAGGGCTCCTACACAGTCACCAGTGACCATCCTGGAAGAAGCTGCAATCAAGGTTTCACCTCCCTCAGCCACCTCAGACAGGTCAGAGGGTGGGACAATTTTTTCCTGGGACAATTCAACCTTCACCACCATCCTCCACACACAAGGGGCAGGAAGACACCTCTCTCCTGGGCCACTGAGGAGCACACCASAGCCCTGTAGTTGTGGGCACCACCAGTAACTTCTGGCAAACACCAGCAAGCACAACRTTCTCAGTGAAGGACCAGCCCAGCKCTGRAGGTCCTTGGAAGAACAGTGCCTGGTCCTGTCCTGAACCCCAGCATACTTCTCCCTACCCCACAGGAGTTTCAGCCCAACACCAGCTCACCTGTAGAAGGGCAAAAGCAGGAGAGGTCTGCAGGTGTGAAAGGGGCAGGACAGAGCCAGGAGTYGGCGTCCACTCCACATGGCATTTGAAAAGCAAGCTTGGCTTGAAGCTGGGCAGTTACCATCACAAAGCTTGCGGGAAACAAGAGAACRCCCAACAGCCAACACAGCTCACTGCTAGCCAGGACGGCAAGGTGAGAGGACACAGCTCCTSCTCCTCTCCATTTAARTRKGGAAGAGCAGRACTYWACACCCTGCYTGGCAGGGCTGAGAGCAGAGGTTAGGTCCCAAYGCTCAGTCCCACTGCCCCAGTAGCCCATGGCACCACTACAAGAGCAGAGATGGAAGCAGGCAGAGCACAGCTGGCTGGTAACACTGAGCAGGGCAGGGACAGGGGGCTCCAGCTTCTCCTGGACAAGTGCTTCAAGCCAAGCACCTTAATTTGGAACTGCTTCTCTGTTTTGACTTTCCTCTTGCACACCCATGGTTTTATGCACTCTGTGTGGTCTCTGTACTTTAAAGCATCCCAGTGTCAGATCATCCTTACATCCTCGGCTGTCTGCAAGCAAGCACTGGGACACCAGGCAGCTGGTTGCACCAGCACCTGCACTTCCAGAGACTCATGCATGGAATGACCCTCCTCACTAGCTTGTACCCAGGATGGCTAACACCCTGTTCCACCACAGTTCCTCACTCCAGCAAAGCTCTGGTCACTCATCTCTTGCAGGACACCCTCTTCCAACTTTGAAAGGGAGTCACTCTGCCCAAGAAACCCAGCTGTGCTCCTCACTTTAGTGTGGAGCTAAGCCCATTGCTTTCTCTGCAACTTGGAATGATATTTCATAGGTGTGTTACTTGCTGGCAGGGAACGTTTCCTCCCAGCAGTTCCTCAATGTAGTTCTCTGGCCATGGGGAGCAATAGAGCCAGCCAGAAATTGAGCCCTGACTTCCTTCCAACCCCTGCCCCTCACAAGGACGCAGGCTGGACCTGCAGGGTCAGAAATCATCACCCAGCTCTGCCTGCTTCTGGCCGCACAGACCCCTCCCCTGGGCTGGCTCAGGGCTGGCCCCTGCCCTGCGGCCGGGAGCAGGCTCTGCCCAGGGGCCGAGGTGCAGAAGTCGGGGTCAAACCGGCCAAGCGGAGACTGCGGGAACGAGCACCGTGGCGGGGAGAGAGGAGGGCCCGGAGCTGGCACGGGAGGCGGGGAGCGACTCACCTGAGCGTGAAGAGCAGCGGCCGCAGCAGCGGCTGCCGGGTACGTGAAGGCGGCGTGGGGGATGGCCGGGGTCAGCTCCGTGGTGTACAGCGGGTAGGGAGCCCACGCTTCCGGGGACGCTGGGATGAGAGCCGCTCCAGTCAGGTCATCTAGACAGGAGGAGAGACAAGGGGACAGTGCCTCAGCAGCTGTGCCCCAACAGCTCGCTTTGGGAGCAGGCTCCAGACTCCCCACCCCAGGCTTTGCGCTGCCATCTTGGTGAGGTGTAAAATCTGTGTGCACAGCTGCTCCTCTGGCCTCCCAGCCTTRCCAGGAATGTGTTGCATTACAGCCCCAGGTGGGCTTTGGACTGGTCTACACAGGCAGCACAAGGCTGCTGCCACGGGATGCAGGACAGGGGATGGGGGGCTCAGAACCATGTTACAGGTCAGCCACAAGCCYCAGCAGGGCTACCCACCCCACCAGGCTACACAGAGAGTGATGGCACAGGACTCATYCTTTAAGCTTCATAATTAGGGATGCTTTAAAGGATTTACAGTATCACTTGAGCTACCAAACCCTTTCCTGTCTCAACATTCTATGTTGGCCAGCAGCCTTGGCAGAATCGTGTTATTCTCCTATGGCCCCAACACTGTGCCAGTCTCCCTGCCCCAGGCAGATCTCAGGGACAGCAGAGGTGGGTCTGGGTTCCTCTCCACCCTGGCAGCATTCCCAGGGCTGGACACCTCCTAGGTTRGAGCCATGACCTCCAAGCCCCTCCCAGCATACTCACAGGGGTCCCGTGCAATGAAATGTGCGCCCAAGGCAGGGTGGATATTGGTGGGGTTCGGTGTGGCCATCAGCTTRCTCTTGGCCATCTTTGTGTTGGCTTTAGCAAACTCTAACCGCAAGGTCTGGGGGTTCTCAGGGTCGAAGCGGATGCCCTGTCACAGGAGAGAGCACACAAGTCTCAGAGGTGAAGCTCCAGTCCGAGCACAGGCTGTGGCTACTCACGGAGAAAAGCCCAACTGAAGGAACCAAGACCACCCACAGACACGCCCAGATTTTTGTCAMCTCACTGCAACACTTGAGCTCTCACATGCTTTTATTTTTACGTTTAGCTGGCCCAAGACCACTGCTTCCAYCATGAGGTACACAGTTCTGCTCCTTACATGCAGATCACCAACCACTATAGCAGAGATGGCTACCAACACAGGTCAGGAAGGGTCTGTCTCCCTGAGCTGGGATAACCCTGCCTATATTAGAGTTGGAATAGCCCCCATCTGTGTGGGAGYTCCCATCTGTGGTGCCACTACATCTTCTGCCAGCCTGAGCAGAGGCACTACCAGATGTCRCAAAGGCCAAGGCAAGGTCTACAGCACAGCAGAACCACATCTTGCTAACCAGATCCCACCCACACTCRTGCAGGATGGGGATCATTTTGGGCGTCCCTTCCATGTTGACCATCYTCAAGACATTTTCTTGAGTCACAGMGGTTTCCCACACCCTCAGAGGCCCTGGAGTTGTCTTCCAGTGGTCAAAAACTACATGGAGACAGCTTGCATTCATTTGCCCAGGCTGACGTCAGCCTCGAGCAGCTCACCTGCTTCCCTGGTGGGATGCTGCAGCACCRTTTTGCTTCCATAGTGAAGGCCACAGCTGGGAGAGCCTGCCCTTTCCCCACCCTCAGCTCTGGGTCCAGCGAGGTGTGTGCCCCCAGCACCCTCAGCCCCCCAGCTCTTTGGGTACTCACATTCAAGGCGTTCTTTGCTGCTTCAGCGCCAGCCCGGCTGTCGAAGGTCACAAAACCCACCGGCTAAAAGAAACAACACCCATTTCAGTTTGGGCTCTTCCTGYCCTGCCACACCCTCTGCCCCAGACAACCAGCAGAAGAGACCATCCAAAGCTGCGGAGGGKCTGCAAGCAGAGCTTGGGTCATTGGCCCAAATTCCTGCTCTGCATCCGCTCCCACCACATTTTAGCAGTGTCCCCACATGTAGGAATGCCACACTGACAATCCCCAGCATGGGAGTGGGGAAGGCTGATGGTAGCACCAGACTTGAGGCTGAAGCCTCAGGTCTCACCCAGGGCAGCAATGGAGACATTCAGCACATGCTGGGTCAGTAGAACCCAGTGTGTACCTAGTGATGGCCCCAGACTGGTTTAYACAGTGAAATGGGATTTTTCTTCTCTCCCCTCCTGGCATGTCCAGTTTTCTAGCAAAAGCCAAAAACACACAGGCTGGAAGGAGGTACCTGCTTTGAAGTCAGCTTGATCAATGACCCTTCATAACCCTGCAGAAGGAAAGAAAGCGAGTCAGCATCAGCTCCTGAAGAGTCACACTACAACCGAGGCACGACATGACAGCTCCGGGAGTTCCCGTAGCATCAAGCCCTCCATAAGGCAGGGGTGCAGCAGGAGCAGGGACAGGAAAACTTCTTTCCCACCAATGGAGAAGACTGGGGGCAGAGAAAGTATTTTAGCTGTTCCATCCTGGCCCCTTTTGGAAGGAATCCCATTTTCCAACTCTTCATCCAGCTACAAAGACGAGCCCCCTGCCCCCAGCTAGTGCCTAGAGAAAGCAGAGCAGCCCCCTGTGCTAGAGAAAGGCAGACAAGAAAATCCCACATCCCACTTCCCCAGAGACAGCCTGGGTGGTTATCAGAGAAGGATGGATAGTCTGGAGGATGAGGACACATCCTCAGGAAAGGGCTGCTCCAGCTTGGCAGCAGGGATGATCAAGCAGCCTTCATCAAGCTTAGACACAGCACAATTCCAATGGCAGATTCCTGGGGAGGTTTCCCAGTGGAGTAATAGGATCTTGTGCTGCCTTCAGGGTTCCATGTCATCCCTACTTCTTCTGACAGACCTTTGCTGCCAGCTCATGCACAAAAAAGCATCTTTCCCACCAAAATYCATAGCTGAATACCTTCTTACCTTGAATGGTCGGAAGAGAAGGTAGAGCTCTCTGGGTTTGATATCCACAGGAAGGCCACTGACAAACAGCGTCCGTACCTAAGGGAGAGAYRAACCAGCTGTACTGAAAGRAGATGTTTGATGCCAAAGCAGGAGYGCYCAGCACAGCTCGGAGCAGGAGATTAAGTGCAGCAAGAACAGGACACTTAGAACAAAGGTCCACTAACCCTTCCCTGCATTAGAGGAGCATTGCCCATGATAAAACACACCCAACCCTTTGGTCCCTGCTTCAAATGATTGAGTCTTTTACAGAAATTCAGTCCYTGGCATCATGGCCTGGGTTGATCAAAACAGGGACACCAGCCCCAGGTGGGACACAACCTTGATGGCTAAACTAGAAAAGAACACACACTGCCTCAAGAACTAAGTTTGACGTGTCCCAAAGGTCCAGAAGGGACCACAGTACAAACCACAGTTCTCTCCAGCTCTTCCTATGGATCACATTCTAGATCTACTCTCCTTAATCTACCCTGGYACTTTACTTCAGTCGCCAATTTAAAGGCAGCCCTCAATTTCGAGAAACACCTCGCTGTCCCACTCGCAGCTCTTGATTTCTGCAACAGCCCCAGCATATGACTGCAGAAAGACTTTGGGTCTGCCCCAGTTCCTTCCCCAGCACACCTCAGACCCTTCAAAAGTTGCTCCCAAACCCATTCTCAGAGCAGGTGTYCTATTGTGCCCAACCAAGAGCAGCTATGCTGGGCCAAATCCCTTTGGGCCGCTGTTCTTCCCAGGCTGTTCAAGTCTTGGACCAAGTCCAAACTTGTCCATGTCAAAGTGAAAAATACAGTGCCAGGGAAGGATTTCAATAGATAATCCATTAAAATTAAAGATAATAGTTCACTTGAATAACCAGGAAGAAGAAAATGCTGAAGGCTCATGGCCTAGGAGAATTCTGCTCAACAGTCAGACCACCACAAGCACCTTCTCCCTGCACACTGGCTGGCAGACCATTTCCATAGGAAGCAGCATGATGAAGCTACAGAGACTTCCTGTAAATCAGTGTGGAGCTGAAAAGGGAAGTTATGTACAACAGAGGTCATGGAGACACTTGTCATTATTAGCAAAGAGCAGGAGCCCCATGCCAGAATTCATCTCCCGGCCTGCTTCCAGCATGGAGTGACCCAATTACATGTGCAGGGCAGAAGRACTGGGCTCCCACATTTTTGCTTTTACTCAGCCATTTCCCCTTCCTCAAAACCTCTTTTACCACCAAACTCAGCAGCATGCGCTTGCCCTGCTCATGGGCTGGTGACAGACCTGGAAACACAACAGCCTTGCCCCCGTAACTCTTTGGGGGCAGCAAGATCCACACTCCTCCACACAGGGAAGYTTGTCTCTTTTACAGATGACAATTCAGATCCTTGAGCTCCTGTGCTCAGGACAGTCCTGCCAAGGAAGCCAAATGCCCTTCCCAGGGTAAAGCCCCCCAAGGATGGACAGTGATTGTGAACCACCTGGGATGCCTGCTCTCTTGTGTACACTGAGACTAAGGGCTGCCATTGTCCCCCCACAGCGTGCGGAGCCCTTCTCCAGCCCAGCACACCATGAGCAGAACCAGAGCATCCTTCCCATCCCCTCCCCTGAGCACTCAACACGGATGGCTCTACAACACGCTCCTGCTTTGCCCTGCCTTGGAAAGCAGGATGCTAYGCAGAGCACTCCAGAAACACTTTCCAAACCCAGGTTCAGTTTGACAGGCTCCCCAAGCACCCCACCCCTCATCTGATGTTTCAAGGCATGACTCCAAGGCCACCCCATGCCCAGACAGAGGGGACAATGCCCCTGTTTCTTGGCTTGCTGGCTGCCTCAAAGATCTCAGCACACGAGCTCCACAGAGTGCCTGCAGTGCATTCCCAGAAGAGCCATGGCCATCTCTTGCAGGGGAGGACTGCAGTGTGTGGTGGCACACATGTGCCTGAGCCATGTGAAAGCACCGTCCCTTTTCAATATTTCAGGATGCAAGTGCGCTCAGCCCTCAGAATGGATGTTTCTTCCGAGCAGATAGAAATCTGCATCTCTGTTGGGTCTCTAAATGGTCCTGTGATGCGTCTCCYGGTAAGTCCTTGCGACAGGCATGACAGGAAGATGTGTGGTGGCTCAGGGAAGGGGGAGTYGGAGCTGGAGCCCTCACAACAACCTGAATAGAGCAAGGCTGGTGCCCAGGAAAGCTCTTTGTCGGGGTAACAGGCTCACAGGCCCCCATAAGATGCTGCCAAGGACAGAAGCAAGAAACCTGCTCTTGCTGGCCAAAAGCTTCCCTTGGCCTCCAAGTCCTGTTTGTCACCATCCACAGCACTGGAAAGGCATTGGAAAGCCAAGCCACAGCACCTATCAAGGGCTGCATTGCTCCAAAGCCTGGGCAATTCCAAATGCAGCAGCCAACCTCTTCAGAGAGGCTCTCAAGACAAACTAAGGAAGCCCCTGCTCAGAAGAGCTTGTTGGCAGTGACAAGTCCCAGTGGTTGGTTTTACCAGATCCATGCAATTCAGCACATCCATGAGTGACCCAGAGAAGGGTAAGGAAAATGGGAGACCAAGTTATACGGTGAAGGGAGGGTGAGGCAGCTGAGAGATGTGAGCAATATTTTCAAGGGACAAAGTAAGCCAAGCCAGAGGGAGCTTACTTTCAAGACCAGGCACAAAGGAAAGGAAACCTGGGTTACCCCACAGGAGAAAAGCAGGAGGCAGCTCACCAGTCTGAGCCTCYGGTGCACTGTGGGCAACCTTCCACAGCTACCAAAGAGAGGAAACTGTAGATGAGGGCAACAGGGTCTAGACAAGCATCTTCCAGTGGATTAACCAAACTGGGACGCTGCAGTCAGCCTTGAGAGCCCAGCAGAACCACCCAGGGCTGGCAGATCCAGGTATCCAGCCCTTACATTCAACATGCCACAACAGGGTAGCTTCTGCTAAAATATATTTGCCCTTCTTCAACTCCCTGCCACCAAACACCAAATCCAGCCTCCCCACAACGCATCCAGAAAAGGCACAGGACAAAACTCACCAAATYGAACCAACAAAAACACCATCCAAAATATCTATCCAGGGCTGCATCAGGAACTGCCTGGGCCAAACTGCATGTCCAAACATCCAGCAGGAGCACATCTCCAGGAATACCGTGTTTTTCTGCTCATTCTTAGGCTCTGCTGCCAGCCACTCAAGAGGAGGTGCCAGGTGAGAGCAGCCTCATCCCACCCAGGACTGATCCAAACTRGAATTTGAATAGAACAGCCCAGTAGGGTCACACTGCTGCAGGTCCTGCAGAAATTCTCTGCTCCTCATCCCTGCCCCCGCTGGGGATGTCCCCAGCCCAAACACCTGGCAGGGATGGAGGAGAGCCATGGGAAACAGGATGCGTGCCAGGAGGGACCGTCTATATCTTAGAGAGGGAGGATCCCAGCATAGCCTCCCATGCAGCAGCAGGGAGGGACAAGGACAAACCATTTAGCCCTCGAGTTCTCAGTGTTAGTCCTTGCACAGCTGCATCTCCCCAGAGGGACACATGCCTTGTGCCAGCACAGCCACCAAGGCTGCAAGGGAGCCAAGCAGCAGCTCCTGCCGCATGCTCCTGCAGCCTCAGCACGCCAGGAGACCAGCACAGCATCCACAGCTCCTGGCCACAGCTGTTTCAGAAAAAGAGCTCTCAAAAGGGTGTTCTGAGGCGCCCTGCAGCCCAAAAACAGCCAGTTATGTCAGAAGCATCCAATGCAAGGGCACACGTACCCACCCGCTGTGAGGCTGTGGTGATTTGTGTTTTTTTTTTGTTAGAAGACTGATCTGAATCACTCCTATACACCCCTCACCCCAGAGCCAGCAAGGCAAATCCTCCCCTTCAGAAAGACCATCCCTTTAACTACATCACCCACAGCACAACTTGGGCTACTSCAGCCCCCCAAAACTGGCCTGCTCCTGGATCCATGCTTCCAGCACGTAAGCACATGTGGAGCATGTAAGCCTTTACCAGTAGTGGTTCAGAGAAACATGAGCATGGGTACAGCAGGAATGTGCTCTAATGTCTCCCTCACACTGTGCTCTGGACATCCCTCCTCTCCAGGAAGCCACCCCAGCTGCATGCCAGTTTTTCCTAGAACAAAAAAAAAAAAAACTGGCATTCATTTCCCACTAGTTCACACCTTATTCCTATGCCACCAGCCTGTGCCACCCACTGAGGACAGGGATAAGCTCTGCCACAGCATCCCAAAGGCACTCTCCACTCCTGGCACCCACCCTGAGGTGTCAGGAGCTCAGGGACATGTACTACAGCTTTTCCTATGGGAGAGCATCTCCGTGGGGTGCCTTCCTGGCATCCAGGGCCACCAGCGAGGCCACAGGGGCACACAGAGCCCGGGTCCTGGCCACCACGATGCAGCCAGGGCCACTTGACGCGAGGCCGCTGGAATGCAGCGAGCCTGCGGCTGCCCCAGGAGCCGGGACTTATAAGGCACGGGAGCGGAATGGGGCGGCGAGCTCACACAACAGGGCTGCAGGGAGGGGAACATGCATAGTCGGGCAGCGGGGCTGAAAAATGGGACAGGACCCAGCTCTCCGTGTCCCACACGGGCCCTGGGGCTGTAGGGTCCTGCCACTGCAGCACAAAGTCCCAGGAAACACAAGGGAGGGAGAAACTGGGGGAGGGAGAGATGTGCGGTCTGTGAGAGGGATGGGTCAGCAGGAAAGAAGGGCGGCTTCCAAACCACGGAGCAAGAATCCCAAGAGAAGGGGCTGGTAACAGGCTGTTTCACTGTTCCGTGCCTCAGTTTCCCCTCCACTAATGAGCAGGGGGCCTGCGGCCATTGCAGCCCCAGCGGAGCTCTGGCATCCTCGGGCAGGGCTGCACCGAGCCCTGGCAAAGRATCAGGCCAGGGTGGCTCCAACCAGGAATGCCCAGGCAGGCACAGAGCTTCCCACTCACTGGAAAGATGTTCACCCAYCCCCAGAGGGAAAAGAGGGCCTTGAACCTCCCCCAGCACTTGAAGCAGGGGCGGCTTTAGGCATTGCCCTCCAAAAACAGCCTTTTGCACCAAAGACACCCAAGGA